AGAACTACCAAATAATAATATGATCTGATTGATAAGAGATTTGCCAGAAACATGTCTAAAAAGATTGCTACACAGAAAATATGCAAGAAATAGCGTTAATCTGGCTGACATCAAATCGGCATAAACAGAAACACACACACAGAGCCAATGAACTACAAAGAAATAGCCAAATAGATTTTAGTCAAATTTGAGCACAGACTTTGTATTTGAACTGCAATGAAAAATTTTCCGAGTTCACTTAATCTACGTTTCTTATGATTCAGAATATTCCATGAACAATAGTGTGGCTAAGACAAAGAATGCTGTTCCTCGGCCCCAATGAGCAAAAAGAACTTCCAGAGTCAGATTCCCGTTTTAATTTTGTAATGGACAAGAATACAAGAAACGGCATAAAAAAGAATGTCATCCGTAACGTTCATATTGATAAATATTCTTTGGATTGAAAAGAATTAAGTAACGCGATTTCTATGTAGCAAATCGTCCCTACTCCTTCTCCAAACCATCCTGCTCTGCAGCAATTACCTACCTACCCACCCGATTAGTATACTATATAAGTATGTTCAGTTAGGCATTAAATATGTATTATGGTGTAAAATACTTGAGGTTGGATGCTAGGTTTCTGGTCACCGATGCTGCCTGGAGTTGAAGCGTTTGGCGATGGATGCGAAGTATTTGGTGGAGGAAGGGGTGAAGAAGAAGCCGAGGAACCAGGTTTATCACCACCTACACCTGGCAACCGATTAACAGCAGCAGTACTGGAGCTGGAGTTCTCATCATTATGCGATGGGGTAAGAAGGGGAGGGATTTCTGTTGTTGGATCGATAAGGCGAGAGGATGGTAACTGAGAGGCGCTTGAGACAGAGGTTGTGAGAGACATGGAATTGCCTAATCTACGTTCATTCTGTACAGCTTCTGAGCGCATTCCTGCGTCGAGGCACTTCTGCATTCGACAGTACTGACACCGATTTCGATAGGCCTTATTCACCACACACTTCCGGTTGCTTCGACACACGTAATTCACATGTCCACGTATAGAACGTTTGAAGAAGCCTTTGCAACCCTCACATGATATCACACCATAGTGTCGACCTGAAAAGCAGATTCATGCATAATAAGGCTCGTGCATACAGAAGTCATGACATAGGTCTAAATGAATGGTGGCTTTAATTAGCTCTACCGAGACCGACTACCTTCGGTTAAAAATTCAAATAAGTCGTGAAATAAGCTGCAAGGCCGCTAATTGTTCAAAGAAAAACGTGATATTAGAGACAATCGTACAAGCAATGACGACAATAACTCCAAATGTTCTATTTCATCAATGGGTTCAAAGGAGGTGAGGATGGTCGAAGCATCATCTATCAGTGTTATTCTCGCTCTTTGAGCTTAAATAGTAACTAATAAGTTCAAGTCCTTAACAGTCTTATTAATTCTTCACGCATGGTAGTAAGAAGTTAAGAATAAATTAGCATGGCATGACCAAGCAGTTAATTAAATTAACTAGACAATAAGCACTGAATACTGTGGACAAGAGGTGTGCGATAGACTTACCTCCACGTGGTGCATACTGGGCAACGTATACTCATACGGCAAGTCTATTAACCGGCAGTTGACTTCTCACTTCAAACTACCATCACCTCACTATATGTCCTATTCGACTACTTCCATAGTACTCACCTCACCTTTTTTCTACCTTTTCTACCTTTGTCTTTGAAACACTCTTCTGTTCCCCCCTCCCTCTCGACTTGTTTCCACTTTGATGTTCCTTTCCCTCTGTGAAGCTTGAAGTCAACTAAAGGGCTAATGATAACCATCAAATGCCTGCCATTTAATATAAATAAATTAATATTCTGAATAGTTTTATGCAACGGAAGGATTTAATCTTGTGTAGCGATTATATCAATAACAAATGCGTTCAATAGAGGCTTGGGAAGGAGGTCAAGAATAAATGGAAGTTTAAACGAAGTCAACAAAAGAGTGACGAAAGTTGTTGACTCCAGTTTCGAGCATTTTCTTTCCTAGTGTCCGAATTTCTTGTAGTTCGACTAGAAATTATTGACCTCATTTTGGTCGGTCAATTGCTCCAAATTCATTTTCTTCTGAAAAGATATTTTAAGGTAATATAATCAACTCTGAGCTTACTTGGTGAATTAATGGAGCATTGTCACCTAAAATTGTCCATCTTTATCGGAGGGAAATTTAACAAATTTTTACTAATCTTGATTGACATAAATAATGTTACCTTTTACAGAATTTCCAAATACCCCGATTATTATCAATTTTAGGTACTTTAGCACTATGGTAGATTAAGTCGGGGTAAGTTCCACAGAACTAAGATACAATTTTTTACTGACCTCATTCATATTTTTTCTCTTACCTTTAATAATTAAATATCCGTTGGTTTATAATGAATTAGTATATCGTATTAATTGAACAAACGGATAACTAGCTTTAGATGTGTGAAATAAAATGTGGAAAAATTTTCAAGCCCTTTAAGGAAAGTGTTCACAAAATTTAATCATTTAATCACCCCTCCAGTGGACCATAAATAATCTCTGGGAGGAACCAGATGAACTTCTCTATCATAACCTTTGACTTACTAGACGTGCACTTTGACCACTGACCCATCGGACACAATGAGGTAAGGTAGAAGGTTTCATGATTCCCCGAATTTCTTAACTTTATGCTATTCAGTGGAATTCAGTTCGACTGAAACCACTTGTCAAAATTCAAGTAGTCTACAATGTCGAACTTGTTTTCCATCTATCTATGTTAGAAAAAAGACAAGAGTCAATATAACACACTACAATCCATCATTCGACCTTAAAATATAATTAGTGTAGCGAGAGAACAGAGGGAGCCTATGCGAACATTTTAAACTGTAGTGAAATATGTATTTTATCGGTATTTGAAACAGATGTACAATAAGCAGATATAGCTGTTTCTTAATGGTACACAAAATATCATCTTTTTAAATATTCCGTCTATTTTGTTCGTATTCGATGTAGCAATAATGAGAAGTCTCTTTATTCATTTTTCATCAACTTTGAGTTATTTGCAACCATACAATGGTAACCACTTACGGTCGCTTATCGAAGTCTTCTAACAATTCATTAAAATGTTGGAACTTTTATTGTCAAAAAGTTTAAAATTTTTAGAGGTGTGTGTGTGAGAGTTGTTCAGACTGTTAGCAGAAGCTGCATTTGTTAATTATTACCCATATTGACTCTGGCATTTGCAAGTTTTATAACACAATTTAGTTAGAGAGACTTTCTCCTAAACCGCCAAACTGAGATATACACTTTTAAACTATCGTTTATAAATTTATAAATCCATGAAAACAGAATTTGGACGTCTCCCCCTCACTAATTATATAACCATCGCCATTTAACTTTATCGGTTCCAAAGCATTCAAATAGATTAAGTAAGAAGGTACTATATTGATTCGATAATGGGAGTGGTAATGTCAGTTCTCTCAATGTCAAACCCCACGATTAGGTCCTTTTGGGACAAGGCGAGTTTTGAATAATTGGTATTCTCGTGTTGTCGAGTGGATTTTATTTGGCATTTTATACCGTTTTAGTTAAAAAATACAATAAAAGACGATCTAGTAAAGTTAGAAGGTCTTCTGGTTATGGAAACGCAGTGTCGATACAAAGTTGGAGTGACAAACAAGTTGTAATAAATTTG